AACCCTCGCACTGTGCCCCCTTTGCCCCAACCCCTGCAGTCTCCTCCTGCACCCCAACCCTCGCACTGTGCCCCCTTTGCCCCAACCCCTGTGTTGAAACGGGTCGTTAATGGCCCACGGCTGCGCAGATTGTTACTGGCACCAGTGAAAATTCAGATTCCATTTACTCAATGCACAGCAGTTTATTTGAGAATCACATAAGCAGTAAAAGGTTGTTGTGTGCAGCACCAATATCGCCGTAATGTGCGGATGTGCGGCACCCGTACAAACAAAAAAGCTAGATATCTATTTGTAAACAGTTCGTAGCTCTGTAAGAAGAAAGAATATTAAAACAAGGAATAATTAAGGAGGGGCTCGGCTTAAGATGTTTGTTTAATATGAAATCAAATAAAAAGAAGGTTCACACTGCCCTTGGAGTACATGGCTTTTATCATCCTTTCCAACAACTCAAGCTTGTAAACACACCAAAATGGGGCACACTGAAAACAGCTGTGTAAATAAAACAAACATGGCCATTAAGTGAAAGCATAAAAAATATGCACCAGAGGCCCAATTGAATAACCTTCTCCTACCATAGAGCACTAAACCTTCAGGGAAAGCTGCTCTTGAAAAATGAAGCATCTGCCAACACACTAGCATGTTATGGACTTTTGCAGGTCACAAAACTATCCCTCCTGCATGCAGAGTATCTGCACACACAGCTCAGCTTTAAGATGCTAATCAAATCTGAGTCAACTGGAAATAGTCACGCTCTCATCGCAAAAATTAATGCAATATTTTCTGATACTGGAAAGGACAGTAAAAGGCATTCACTCAGGCTTATGCAATTTCTCTGAGATGTCCACTCTAAATTTGATTAATACGTCACACGTGGAACAGGAACAATAAGTAATAAAACAACACAGAGAGCAAACAAACCCACAAACAAACAAGTGACACCACTGAGAATACGGAGGGAAGTAAAACATCAAGTGGTTGGTTATGGGGATTTTACTTGAGTGTTTAGGACCCACGCTGTGCAAGTGCAGCAGAGCCCTGTAGAAACAGGCAAAGTTCTCCTGGTTTCACATTGTGTGTGTGTGTGTGTGTCACCAACTCAGAGTCGACTCATTACGTTTTTACAAGCCCCGGAGCACATTAACACATGGCCTCAGAGTTTGCAGACAGATCCCCGCTTCAAAGAGTTTGCAGGTAAGGTCTTTATCCTACAAAACACATAGCACCAAACCTAGTACTGCTTGCTCCTTGTGACTCAATGGAAGTACTCTGAAGAGCCAGAACTATACCAGCTAGCAAAGATCTGGCCTTAATGGTTCCCAATACCTCTCCCCAAACAAAAATCATGGAAATCACTTGTCTGGAGGCGTCTCTCTGGCCACCAGCAGGGTGACAAGTGATTTCCATTCAGTTTTAGAATTTGTTTGGGGAGAGGATGGGAGGAACAGACTGAGGAGTGCAGGGGGTTGGTAAGCGGCTCAGAAGCTGCTGCACACCTTCCCTGTCAGAGCCCTGATACCTGTTTCTGAGAGAAGACCCCGGCTGCCTGTAATTGCTCTTGTCCCACTCCCTCCTGCTTTCCTCATTTGGAGGGGAGTCCTGATTGCTGTCAGGCCCTGTCACTTTCAGGGTAGCAACATCCTGAGAAGAATCACAGGAAATCCACTGAACTCTGCTTTGTGAGGAAAACAAAGACAGGAAGGAAGGCGGCAGGAAGGCAAATACATGGCTAGGAATGTCAGGAGCTGGGGTTGGGAAGGGGGGGGGGAGTCTTACTCCTGCTGCAGCAGCCCCCAAGCTGGAGCTGGGAAGGGGGGGGTGTCTCTCCCCTGCTGTGGCAGCCACCGAGCTGGGGTGGAAGGGGGGGTGTCTCTCCCTGGCCGCCACAGCCCTGCATGCCCAAAACTGCCCCCACCCCCACACCTATCTCCTATTCCCCCCAAAGCCACCACCTCACCTTAAATGTGTGTCCTCTCCAGGGTCCAGGCACCTAATTAGTGGAGCCACCACGTCTGCAGGGCTCCACTAATCAGGTGTGCGGCCCTTGAAGCCCTCTTGTGGGGCTGCCCAAGCATGCACCTTAGAGGGACGCAGAAAGGGGGTGGGGAACCCGCGGGGGCCAGGGGCAATGGAGGGGCTCCCATGGAGGCCAGGGGCAATGGAGGGGCTCCCATGGAGGCCAGGGACAACGGAAGGGGGGGGTGCCATGAATACAAATTCACCCAGGGTGCCATTTTCCCTAAAGCCGGCCCTGCACCTCCCCTTTTCTGCCTAGGACTCCAGCCCCATTGGACAGTACAGAAGGGAGCTGGGATCTCTTACCTGAAGTGGCAGCAAAAAGCCCAGACAGGCTAGAACTAAGAGCCCCCGGAACACACCGACCTACCGCATGGCAGAGAGGAGACAGGAATGGCAGCGCCTGCGGCAGCTGAGAAAAACACACAGAACTTTCCAAGGGAAGTTGAAAAGGAAGTGAGGTGGAAGAGGGGAAACTTAGCTATACGGCCAATGTATTAATAAATTATTTAGTTGTAAATATAGAAGAGTTCCTATAATGAGTGTTGCACCTGTACACAATGGGGTTCCCAACCATATAATAATTGTATTAATACTGGGCCTGATCTTGGGCCAAGGACCTGTCTACCCTTATAGTGAGAACCGGGAATTCTTATTCATAATCTGTAGATCAGGCTACAGTCCCACCCCCTCAGGCTGAGAAGCAGCTAATTAATTATGGCACAGGTGGGGCTGGTCCCATTTCCCTTTAAAGGGGCCAGTCAGCCTGTGACAGGCTACAGTGCGGCCAACCCCACCCATTCCAAAATCATGAGCTGAATTTCCCCCTGCCCCCCAAATCATGAGATGTGATTTTTTCAGTCAAAGATTTTAAATTTGGGGCTTTGAGCCTCCCCAGTACACTCAGCTCATCTTCTCGGGCCTTTCTCCCCACCACAAAGACGAGACACCTGCTGTTAATTGAAAGCTGCAGTTCTCTAAACATCACATGACTCCTGGAGCTGAGGCTTGAGGGAAAGCACCAGATATCACGAGACTGTGATGAGCTGCCACACTGTGTGTGTCACAGCCTCCTGACGTCTGCTGTCATTTGAGCCAGGGGATATCAGCTCAACAGACAGCAGCCCAGAAAGCAAAGGAAGCTGAAGCTGCATTGAGGATCTGATCTATTGTCCTTACTTGAAACTTTCTTCTAGAGGTGGTCGAAAAACAAACATTTCTGCAAAACATTTTGAAATTTCAAAGTTATTTCAAATCCTCCAAAATTGACCCAGTTGTTCTCTCTCTCGCTCACTCACTCTTTTTCGCATGCAGTATTTTTTTAACATTTGCCCCCTAAATTTTTAAATCCGCAATTTTATTAAATTTTCCATCAAAAATGTGATAGAGAAGATAGACAGATGATATGTATGGGAACACATGGATAGCTAGAGCTAGAAAGTGCCTATGGGGGTGGATGGGTAAATATCTAACAACTGGGCACAATTTTGGCATCTCCCCACCCCAACCTCACAGTGAGTCTCCCATAGAGCACAAAGTAGGGTTGCCAACTCTGACTGAAGCTATTCCGGGAGATTCACCCCCCCCCCCCCCCCAATATGACGTAATGTCATTTCTTAAAATATCCTATTAAAATCTCCGGGATTGCTTTCAATAGTCACCGAGAGATGGATGCTGATTCCGGGAGACTCCAGGCCAATCCTGGAGGGTTGGCAACCCGAAATGGGGATAGTCTGAGGGACAGTTATGGGAAAGCTGAATCATGCTCTCCGTGCACAGGGGGGACATATCTCTGCTCTTCTGAAAAGCAGTGGGAGCATAAAATAAGCCCGCTTCTTCCTCCCTCTCCTACAAGTCCTGTGTGCAGTGGGGTGTGGGTGGGTGACTGCTCCCCCCGAGAGACCCATCTACCCTGTTATCATTTGGATTGTTTACTACAAATCAATGCCAATATTTCCCCATGTTTCTTTCAAAAATGCCCTGAATCCTTTGTCTCTCTGGGTCCGCACGCCCGCTTCTAAATGGAAAAGCACTAAGTTAAAGATGGATTCCAGTATCATGTGACATGGTCACATGTCACTGACAGATTTCATTCTCCATTCTTCCCGGGCTGGCCCGCACACACCCAGGAAGGTTTGCAAGTAAACAGACCATTTACAACCAATTGTTCTAGTCAATGGGAGCCATCAAGTTTCCAAACCACCATTAATGGCCCACACTTTGCATAAGTACAATAGAACATCAGAATTATACTTCATATTTCTAGCTTCAGTTACAAGAATGATACATTCATACAAATAGGATGGACACACTAAGTAGACTATAAGCTTTGTAATGATACCTTACAAGAGACCTTTTTCATAAAGCATATTCCAGTTATGCTTATGAGTGTGAATATAATGTATTTCCATAAAACATTATGGAGTGCAACGTCACAGCCTCATTCCGGAGTAAGAGTGCCTTATTTGGAGGGCGCCTAATTCCGAGCTGTGGATTCTGCTGGGTGGCTAGGCCCCTACATGCTAGGTTTTGAAACACTGAGCGTTGCAATGCCTAAGACCCTCTTTGGTCTGGGCCTTATAGCTGTGCAAGCCCCACTGAAAGAATGGGGCTGCACAGAGGTCACCAAGGCAGTATGGGAAGAGGATTGGGGAAGGAAGTTGCCTGAGGGAGGGTCACTGTGGGGAAAATTTGGCTTGCAGTTTTTCCCTTGTACGTGGGGCACATTTGATAGATTTGCTGAGAAGTAATAAGCCTGAAGCCTCCAATGCCAGTTTTTTAAATCTTATTTCAAAGCAGAGCTGCAATTTGAACCTTCAGACTCTCGAGTCCCCCCTCATATCAGTTCCCTTTGCATAGGCATCGGGTTTGCTGCAGATCCAGTTTCGCTCAATGTAGCATCTCGAAGAGCTGACGGTGTCTTCGCTCAGGAACGTGCAGTCCGATTCCCCTCGAATGACAAACCTGGAACGAACAGGTGAGATGACGCTAAGAGAGGGACACTCCACGCTTGTGAGGTTAGACAGACACAGCACTCTCAGGCTCCTCCCTGATAGGAGGGAATGTAATGTCTTGAGCCAATCAGGGGACAGAGAGTACCGAGGCAGCATTTTCAAAAGCACCTAAGCCCCATTTTCAAAAAGGGACACCAGCACTTAGGTTTAGATCCTCAAAGCTGTGAAGGCTCCTAACTTCCATTTATAAATACCTTTGAGGATCTGGGCCCTAAATGTCATTGAAAGCTAATGACATTTAGGCTCCTATGTCAATTTTGAAAGTGGGACTTAGCCATCTAAGTCACTTAGGAGCCTTTGAAAGTTTTACCTTAGAGCTAATGAAAAAAAATAATAATGAAAACTCAGGTTTCAGAGTAGCAGCCGTGTTAGTCTGTATCCGCAAAAAGAACAGGAGTACTTGTGGCACCTTAGAGACTAACAAATTTATTAGAGCATAAGCTTTCGTGGGCTACAGCCCACTTCTTCGGATGCATATAGAATGGAACATATATTGAGGAGATATATATACACACACATACAGAGAGCATGAACAGGTGGGAGTTGTCTTACCAACTCTGAGAGGCCAATTAAGTAAGTGGGAAAAAAACTTTTGAAGTGATAATCAGGATAGCCCAGTACAGACAGTTTGATAAGAAGTGTGAGAATACTTACAAGGGGAGATAGATTCAATGTTTGTAATGGCTCAGCCATTCCCAGTCCTTATTCAATCCTGAGTTGATTGTATCTAGTTTGCATATCAATTCCAGCTAATTCCAGTTAATGAAAACTCAGTTTCCTTCCCCCAAATTTTTGAGCTCCTGACATTGTTTTCATTCCCCAGGGCTCAAAATGGACCTGGTTTTCATTTCTTTAAAAAGTTTTTGGTCACATTTTTCCCTTCCAAAAATTGTCATTTTTTTAACAACAACAATTTTGATTTTCAGAACTGACTGGGAAACAGGACGCAAACAAGAAAATGGATCAAAAATTTCAATACAAAGTTTCAAACATTTACAAAAAGAACCACGCTGGACATTTTTTCACAAGTTTTCCATTTGGAAAAAAGGGCCATTTTTTAACACACACCCCCACCTGCAAACTTTTAATTCTAAATAAATTTTTGTCAGCTCTAGAAATGGAAAGGATTTAAAGCTCTACAGCCCATTTCACCCCGGGGTTGAAATCAATGGAGTGACACCCCAGTCTTACATCAGTGGTGAATCAGGCCTCTATTATTAGAGTTACCCCCTCAGGGTGCTACTCTATGTGAGACGTTTACACTTAATATCCCCAAACTCCACACCGCTGACGTCTCCTCTGATAAGAAGCCAACTTGCCAGGTCCCAGAAATCCATTCCCACCCAGCAGGGGAGAACATGGGTGGCAACAGGAGACACAAGATAGGTTTTCCACATTTCTAAATTGTAGGTCAAGAACCCTGGCTGGCTGCCACCACCGCAGCTGGCATTTTACATGGCTTCGACCAAAAGTTTTGACAGTCAGTATGAAGAGAAAGAAAAGGACTCACAAGTTGTTGAATTCCAAACCGTTGGGCCATTTCCACCCCTGACCGGGTTCCCTCCGGAGGCCGATCCACGGATCCGTTCTGACTTTAAAGCGCAACATGAAAATCTTACAAGAAGAAAAGCAAAGGGGGAAGCAGTTATATGCAAAGGCCACAGACAATCCCACCAAGCATTATCTTCCTGCATTACTGTAGAAGAACAATGAGGACCCCATGAAATCTGCAGCCACGGAATTCACCGCTGGAGGAAGAATTGTGTTCTACAGTGTCAGCTTTCTTGCCTGAGTCTGCAGAGAGCCTGAGACAATAGCTCTGAGATGGGGGAGCTGCCCAGAATGTGACTTATGCCTCAGTCTACAGAGAGTCTGATCTAATAGGTCTGAGAGTGGCATGAACTGTCCTGTGCACCACCATGATGTGTCAACTCTGAAACCTAAAGATGACTGTGACGTCATGGAAATATGACGAGTGTAAATCTGATGTAACTGGAATATGCTTTATGCAAAAGGTCTCTTTTAAGGTATCATAACAAAGGTTATAAACTACTGAATATATTCCTCCTATTTGTATGAATGTATCATTCTTGTATCTGAAGCTAGAAATATGAAGTATAACTCCGAGGTCCTATTGTAATTATGCACAGTGTGGGCAATTAATGGTTGTTTGGAATCTTGATGGTTCCCATTGACTAGAACAATTGACTGTAGATGGCTCTGTTTACTTGCAAGCCTCCACTGCCTATGTGCGGGCCAGTCCTGAAAGAATGGAGGGGGTCTCACAGGGTATGTGAACATATCACATGACACTGGAATCTATCTTTAACCTGGTGCTTTTCCATTTAGAAGGAGGGGTGGGAACCCAGAGAGAGACAAAGGATTCCCGTCTTGTGCCAAAGCTATAAAAGGGAGTGGAACAAAACAAAAGGAGCGGCCAGTCATGGAGAAATCCCTTAGTTACCATCTGAGCTGGAATTAACAATGATTATACCAGGGGAAAGGATGGGGCCCAGACTAGGAAGGAGTTTAGTCAGTGAAAGAAGCTTTTTGGAACATCTCTAAGGGTGAGATTTATCTGTATTCAGTTTCTTAATGTATTAGGCTTAGACTTGCGTGTTTTGTTTTATTTTGCTTGGTAACTTACTTTGTTCTGTCGGTTATTACTTAAATCCTACTTTTTATACTTAATAAAATCAATTTTGTTTATTAATTAACCCAGAGTAAGTGATTAATATCTGGGGGAGCAAACGGCTGTGCATCTCTCTCTATCAGTGTTATAGAGGGCGGACAATTTAGGAGTTTACCCTGTATAAGCTTTATACAGAGTAAAGCAGATTTATTCAGGGTTTGGATCCAATTGGGAACTGGGTGCTGGAGATACGTGACCTGCTGAGCAGTTTTTGTTAAAGTCTGCAGCTTTGGGGGCATGGTCCAGACCTGGGTCTGTGTTGCAGCAGGCTTACGTGTCTGGCTCAACAAGGCAGGGTTCTGGAGTCCCAAGCTGGCAGGGAAAATGGCTCAGAGGTAAATTCAGCATGTCAGGTGACAGTCCCAAGGGGGTCTCTGTAACCAAACCCGTCACTATGACAATTTAGGCATTGTCAATACATAAGATGTGCAGCAGGTCAATCACCTTCTCGCAAGCAGCCTTGTGATTTGGGGGAAAGCTTCTTATTCTCCTCCTGCACTAGCAACTAGACTCTTTGGGGCTGAGACCAAGCATGAAAAATGATGTGCTAAGATTTTTTTTGAAGAAAGTGAGAAGGCATTTAATTGGGGGAGGGGAGAACTAGATTCATAATGGGGCAGGGACAATCTTTTCATTTTGTGTTTGTACAGCACCTAGCACAAAGGGGTCCCAGTCTATGATGAGGGCCCCTAGGTGCTACAGTAATAAATATTAATTATTATTATTAATTATTATTATTAATAGACATGGCCTGTCAATCTTCTGTGAAATCTCTGCCACGACTTCATTAAAAGAGGCAGATTCAAATTCAACTACCAGAATTTCCATTCCACTTGGTCTCCTGCCACTAGAGGCACCAGAGGCTTTGCTGAGCTGTGCATGACTCATTCCTGACTATTATAAACTCCGTGTGTTGTGGTTGCTATAAAAAAAAAAATCTAAGCATTTGTTTCCTTCTTACCAGGTCCTGCTCACTGTCAATCACAGCCAGGGAGGAATTGAGTGCAGAGCACTGGCTCTGGCTGTAGGTCCAATTCCCTTCCATCTCTGAGAAATAGTAGCATTTTCCTCGGTATCCGATCCAGCTGTCTGGGCAGGAGGGGCCTGGACAGGAGACTGGATACGAGGCGGCAGGGGAAGGAGAACTGGTCACGTGGGATTTGGTTGTCAGCACTGAAAGTGAGAGAGTGAGAACAGTTAGATTCTCTCCTCCACTTCTGGACTGGGAAGCAGAATAAGCCCCAAATATTCAGGCTTCCAAATATTGTGGAAGGAAAGAGGTAGCCCATGGTTTCAACTACAGCTGGTCAGAAAATGGGTTTCCACCCCCTGCAGAAAACGCTGAATTTTGGGCGATCAAACTCTAAGATATTTTGATGTGGAAACGCTGCTGCAGTGTCTCATGGGAGTTGTAGTTTGGGTGCCTCATTTCCCCATTCTCTATATTCCAGGCTCCCTGGTCAGACTACATCTACCATGATGCACCCCAATCTCTCACCTTGGTGATGGGAAGTGTTGCATCACGGGAGTCCCTGGCTATAACACATTATAGGGATGTAGTCCAGCTGGCAAACCCAGTCCATAAAGGAGAACGTTGCCAGGTATCTGGTTAGTCCAGTCGAAAAGGGACCCATGCAGTGTCCAGTCAGCACTGCTGACTGGACACCAAAAATACGGTTACCGCAGTAACCGCGATTGGTCTCTACCACCAGGAGGGTGGGAAGAGCAGCTGGTGCTGGAGGAGGAGGGATCCTGACAGTGCACAGTACTTGAGGAGCGGGGCCGGCAGCCAGGCTGGCTGCCTGTGATGGCCCATCCCACCTTCTCATCCCCCCAGGGCCCTGGCTCTCTCCGGCCCCTTGCTCCAGGGACAGACTCCCCCTCCCCCAATGCCGCTGTGCTCCAATTGAGCAAGCAAGCAGGCTCCGCATGAGCTTTCAGCTGAAAACTTTCTGGTTTTCCATCATTTGGTTTTGCAATGGGGGAGGGGGGGAGAAATCAAGTTTTCTATAGGAAGCAGACACTTTTCATTAAAAATTTCATTTAGGCAAAATCCCATGAAATAGGCAGCATCTTTTAGCAGATTTCTGTAAGAAATCAGGCTCTGGCAGTTAGGAACAAACTTTCTATAATTCCCTACTGCAGAGTTTGTTACATCTTTCTTTGAAGTATCTAGCCATCTTCGGAGACTGGAGACAGGTGGACCTCGGGTCTGACCCAGTCTGATAACATTCCTAAAGCATTACAAGGTGCATTACATCTGCAAATGGACACAACAGTTGGGGGGGGGGGAGAGATGAACTGGCTGTACATTAGGGATTAGGTGGAGGATGGGGAACAGCCTCATGGCCGTATACCCTACAGAAGAAAAGGGATAGGTCAGGGGAAGATGTGACTTAGCTAAAGCCTTTTTGAGAACTGCTGGAATGGGAGAGACTGGTCCTGTGATCAAGGCTCTGGGCTAGGACTTGGAAGCTCTGGGTTCAAATCCTCTGTCTGCCACTGACTCCCACAAGGGAGACCTCTGATTTTTCGGCTGCCTGACTTGAGATACCTCAGCAGGGTTGACTCCCGTGGGCCCCATAGACTTCACGGTTGTGGTACCCAGCACCTTTAATGATCAGGCCCCTTTAAGTGGTCTCTAGTCAGCCAGCCAAACTAATACAGTTAATCAGAGGCCACTTTTGAGAACTACGGCTCTAGTCTCTATGTCTCGGTTTCCCCACTTCTAAAATGGAGACGGTAATAATTTCCTGGCCTGGGGAAGGGCGGCGGGGGACAGGACGAATGTCCCTGGTTAAATCCTTCACTCCCTGGGAGGCGCTCAGCTACTACCGTGCCAGGGCGGAGCAAAGCAGAACCTCCACAGCCAGAAGCCATGAGGACAATGTGTGAGTTTGTAGCAATCCCAGCGCTCAGAGAACGCAAAGACTGGGGGAAGTAAAGGTGGCCACACACCTGCTAAAATGATGAGAATTATAGCCACAGCTATGCCTGCGATTCCAGCTACGACTTTGAGACAAGTGGCCTTCCCACATGTACACACAGGAACTGAAAGAGAAAGAGCCATGAATCCCGAGGGCTGTTCTAGTGGAGGGACTAGCCAGTCACTAGACTTATTAGCCAACAAAACAAAAATAAAACCTGGCTGATTTGCAGTTAACCCTTAACATTGAGAAAGGGGAACAAGAGTGAAAATTGGATACAGGCCACTCAGCTATCAATAGTAGAGCTGGTCTGGAAATGGCTTTTTTAATCCCTTGGATAGTTGAAAAAAATAGAAAAAAAAAAGAAGTTTTAATCAAACTTTTCCAAGGAAATTTTTGATTTTTCACTCCTCCCTCCCCACCCCACCCCCCCAAAAAAATATCAACAGCAAAACTATTTTTATTTGGAAATACCATCATAGTGACTCATGGGTGTTGTAGTTCAAGCATCTCATGCTCCCATTTTTCTCTATAGGAGGTGCTCCCTGACCAGACTACAGCTCCCATGATGCATCAGGGTCTCCCTTCTTCGCAAGGGGAAGTTGTGCATCAGGGAGTCTCTGGCTGTGGTGCATCATGGGAGATGTAGTCCAGATGCAGAGCCCAGGCCATAAAGAATGGGGACATGAGGTAACCAAACTATAACTCCCATGAGGCACTGTGGCAACATTTCCAAACGGAAATCTATTTCCAAAGGAAGCAGACATGTTTAGCGCCAAAAAAAAAAAAAAGTTTGTTAAAAGACCCCGGTTTAGATGGAAAATTTTCCACAGAAAAATTTGATTCTTCATCAAAAAACTGAATGCCTGAAAAAAGAATGATTTTGGTTTGGAAATGCTGCTGCAGCGTCTCATGGGAGCTGTAGTTAAAGCCTGGCCCATGCAGGAGAATGGGCGCATGGAAGCACTCGATCTCCCCTGACGCACCACCTCCCCTCTCCGAGAGGGGAGACCACAGTGCTTAATGGGAGATGTAGTTCAACCAGGCAGCTGGGCCTATACAGGGGAATGAAGGCATGAAGTACCCGAACTACAACTCCCACGAGGCACCATGGCAGAATTTCCAAATCAAAGCATGTTGGGTTTTGATTTTTTGCCTCCCACCCTATCCCCCCAAATAAAAGGTCTTCTGCTGGGGGGTGGGACCCAAAGAAACAAAAACACACACACCCCACCTCACACACCCCACCTCACACACACACACACACACACACACACACACACACACACACACATTTTCCAAGTAGCTCTAGTGCTGAGCTCTTCTGAAAATCTGGCTGAGGACCATTGAAAATTCTGGCCTAAGCACTTCTCTACTCTTATTTTTCCAGGAAAGTAATTGCTGTAGTTACCACAAGGATGTTGTGGGATTGTGTTTGGGCCAGGGAAACTACAAGATACTCTCTCTATTAAGAGATGGTCCGTGCTCCAAGAGTGTGAGAGATGTCCCTGACTTACGACATCTCAACATTGACCCTGACTGGCGTAACAAGAAACATTTAACATTCAAATGAGGAACTCTCGTTTTGACATCAACGCACACAACGCTGCGGGTTATTGCCAGAGATAAGACATGCAAAGCGTGCAGCCATTGGCCTAAATACTTATGTTGTAATTTGGCTTACCCTCTTGGTCACCATACAGAATGCTTTCCTTTAGCTGGATGGGTGACTTGGTGCTTTGGGTCTCCGGCCAAATCAATTTTTCCCCTGCCAAGGTAAAGACAAGTCCCAAGTAGCAACAAATCACAGCAGAAGGAGACATGGACTCTAGACTTTTACGCCAGCTGAGGATCTGGCCCGAAATATCCAACACCCTTTCGTTCTGTGGTGTCTCTGTTCTGTCTCAGCGCTGTCTGGAATTCTTTTGGCTTACTTTGAAAGGTGCTGAGACACTGCAAACTCCCACAATGATTCCTCACCCCTGTGAAAGTTGGACCCATCACTGACACTCAGGAACCGATCCCGGCTGAGACCACGTTTCCTCCCCACCCCCAACAAAGAAAAAGAAGAGGCAGGGGGGACTGTCAAATTACCTGACTCCTGCTTCTCTAGGTCCAGATGTTGATGTTGAACGGCAATCGTCTCCATTTTTGCTCTCAGAACAGAACTGGCTGGGAACCAAAACGTCCGTGTCTCCTGACCAACTTTTCCAGGTCAGCTGTAACAATCACAGCTCTAGGTTCTTTCCTTTCAAAGGCTCCTCCAGTAGGTGGCAGTGTCTGACCAGTTCTTATATGCCAGGCTAAAACAGGATGGATTAAATTAAATTACAGTGACATTTCAGAATAGGTGGAAATTATTCAAACTGCCGGAAGTCAGCATACTGCCACAATGGCTCAGGAGAGTTTTGTGGCTGTATCTACGCTGTGAGCACTCCCTCGCGCATCTCATGTGTAATAAATAAGTCCCCACTTTGAGCTACAGCTACAGCCCTTAGGGGGCATTTGGGAGAGCTCAGAAAACAGATAAGTAACTCCTCACTCAACGGTGTAGTTCTGTTCCTGAAAAATGCGACTTTATGCGAAACTATGTTATGGGGAAATTGGATTCACTTAAGAATTAATGTAAATGGGGGGTTAGGTTCCAGGGAATTTTTTTTCACCAGACAAAAGACATTATATACATATACAGTATAAGTTTTAAGTATCAGAGGGTAGCCGTGTTAGTCTGTATCTACAAAAACAACAAGGAGTCTGGTGGCACCTTAAAGACTAACAGATTTATTTGGGCATAAGCTTTCGTGGGTAAAAACCTCACTTCTTCAGACGCAAGTATAAGTTTTAAACAATTTTAAACAGTTTAATATTGTACACAGCAATGACGAGTGTGAAACTCGGTTGAGATGGTGAAGTCAGAGGGTGGAAGAGGGTGGGGTATTTCCCAGGGAATGCCTTGCTGTTAAATGATGAACTAGCACTCGGCTGAGCCCACAAGGATTAATAGGCTGTTGTTAATGTAGCCTCACACTCTACAAGGCAGCCTGGACTGAGGCAGGAGGGAGGAAACACAATAGATGCAGGGCAGTAGCTGCAAACACTTCCCTGCAAAAACTGAGCATGATGATGAGCCCAAGCCATCCAGCTGGAGCGCACCACTCCCTCCTCCTGACAGCACATGCACGGCTGCACAGGTGCTGACTTTCCAAAGTGCTGGGGGGGACAGGGGGTGTGCATGAGTGAGAGAGACGTGCATTGCCTCTTTAAGTACGCTGACCCCACTTCAAGTACATTGCCCTTTTAAGCAGATCAGTCAGTTCAGACAGGAAGCAACAGCTTCCAGCAAGCTCCCCCCCCCCCCTTCCCGAGCCCTGTCCCCTCCTCTGCTTTGTGGAGAGGGGGTACAGAGCAGGGGGACATCCTGACATCAGCACCCCTTTCCCCCCGTCCCCTAGCAAGCCGGAGGCTCCTGGGAGCAGCTCCGGGGCAGGGCAGGAGCAGCGCGGCAGTGGGGGGAGGGACAGCTGAACTGCTGCTGGACAGCTGCCAAGCCACGTACCTTGGCTTACAGGGAATTTAGGGGAGCTGATATGTGCACCCCCAAGTTTCACCTCACTTAAGATACTTGCTTACAAAATCAGACATAAAAACACAAAAGTGTCACAGCCACTGTTACCGACAAATTGCTGACTCTCTCTTTTTTACCATATAATTATAAAAAAAAAAAAATCAATTGGAATATAAATATTGTACTTACATTTCAGTGTGTAGTATACAGAGCAGTGTAAAAAAGTCATGGTCTGTATGAAATTTTAGTTTGTACTGACTTCGCTAGTGCTTTTTAATGTAGCCCAGTGGTCCCCAACGCGGTGCCCGTGGGCGCCATGGCGCCCGCCGGGGCATCTATGTGTGCCCGCGTACTGGCCGGCGGACGAGTATCCGCCGAAATGCTGCCAAGAAGCAGCATCATCCAGAGGCGTTGCCGCCAAAATGCCACTGATTCTCGGCGGCCACACCTATTGATGTTGCCGCTGCGCCTCCGCCGGCCATGGTCCTCCGTGGCTCGTCGTCCGGCGCACACCAGATGAAAAAGGTTGGGGACCACTGATGTAGCCTGTTGTAAAAACAGGCAAATGTCTGGATGAGTTGACGTACCCCTGGAAGACCTCTGCGCATCACACGTACCCCTGATTGAGAACCACTGCGTGTAGCTAATCCACCTCTCCGAGAGGTGGTAGCTAGGTTGACTGAAGAATTCTTCCGTTGACCGAGCCATGTCTACACAGGGTTAGGCTGACATAACCACCTCACACAGGGTGTGAAATTTATCACAGCCCTGAGCAACACAGCTAGGCCTGATCATTCTTAAGTGTAGACCAGTGCACAGTCCCAGTGCAAAAACGCCAAGTGATGACGAATTAAGGTGCTCACTCACCTGTGCACTAGCTGATCTTTTCCACACTGGAAGTAAAGGCCTTTTTGATCTTGCAACCTCTGTGAGGGAGCGCTGCCCCTGGGCGGCTGCTAGCTACCCATTTTGCTGTAATAGGTGAAGCCCCCACAGCACTTCCTTCCAGGGTCGCAGTGTATTGTCACAACTACCAAGGTTCTTGGATTTCCGTGCGCCGACTGCTCGCTTGCGATCAAGCCTGTTAGAGACAAGAGAGTGGTTGGCTGGAGCAGCTTTCGTTATCTGTGATTCGGTACAAGCCCAATTTGGGGTAAGAAGTAAGGGAGGAATTAAGAGACATGCTGGATAAAAAACAGCCACATTTTCAGCAGTGGCCTCTGATTTTGGCGTGTCCAATTTGAGACGCCATGGACGTCATTTCTGGAGGTGCTGGACATTCACAGGTCCCACTGATTTCCCTTGTGGGCGCTTATCACTTTCTGAAAATCAGGCCCCTTTAAGGCATCTCAAACTGGGCACTCACAGGTCAAAATATCAAAAGAATTTTGCATAACAAGTACTCCTGGGGGAATTCTGCCCCCCAAAATTAAAAATTCTGCGCACAATATTTTAAAATTCTACAATATTCTGCATATTTTATTTGTCAAAATAACACAATATAATCACACCCGTTTCAATTATTTCGGTCATTTATTTCAAAACATCTGTCAGCAAGTACTGCTGTAACAATACAGACAAAAAAAAAAGATTCTGGTAATTATTTTTTTTTTGACAAATAGATTCCTTACCAGGCATATTAGCACAGAACTTTGAGTAATTTATTTAAATTACAGTACAGAAATGTATTTCCCACACCCGTCAGAAGTAGTGCAAAGGCTTGGGGGAGTCAGGGGTAATGAAGGAGCTGAGGGAGAGGGAAGGATCCTGGAGTGACCCGGATGGTTGTTGGGTATGAGTGGGAGAAGTATGGAACAGGGGTTTGTTTGGGGTGTTTTTTTTGGGGGGGGGGGCGGGGATTGTTAGAGAGTTGTGGAGCCTCCCCCATGCAGACCCTGGCTGACCCCAAGCCTCTGCCATTCAGTCAGGCACATCTTCCCCTGTCCCGGCACTTCCCATCCCTATATGTCTCTGCAGCCTCCTCCCCAGTCCCCATGTGGCCCCACCCTCATTCAGCCATTGGCTCAGTGCTGTCACCCCACTAGCTCCTAACACTCAGGGCCTGATCCATGGCTGTCCGCTCCTTGTTCTCTCTTCTACACAGAGCAAAGTGGATATCCAAGGGTACCACACCTGCCTGGGGGCCCTTTATTCTCACTTTGCATTAAAATAACCCCCACCACGAAGCACAGGGCAAGAGAAACCAGGCCCAAGGAAATGAAGTGCTCAAACAACTAGTATATCCCCTTAGAAGCAAATTCCACTATTGGTGACAGGTTTCAGTGGTAGCCCTGTCAGTCTGTTTCAGCAAAGAAAAAAAAAAAGGAGTCCTTGTGGCACCTTAGAAACTAACACATTTATTTGGGCATGGACTCCTCGGGGTTGTTTTTTGTTTGTTTGTTTTTGTTTCCCCCTATTGGTGTTTCTCATGAAACAGAGGAAAAAATCCACAACCTTGCTCCTCAGACGCTCACAAATTCCTTAATATTGAGCTGACATTTATCAACACACCCACGTTACCTCCACCAGCCCCCACCTTCCTCTGCTAACTTCCAAACAGCATGAGGCCCCTTCTCCGCCTAACTCGACACACAAATTTGCACTGGATTAACAACCACTTCCATTAAACCAGTGTGAACGCCTGTGTTAACACCCTATTAACCTGTTCCCAAAGGAGCTGAGCTAAACCAGAAAAAAAAATCTGCTTTTAAACCAAACTAAGAGCATTTGCAGGGGTTTAACAAGCTGTTTAAATTCACGCTGTCGGTGCCATTTTCCTACACAAACAAGCCCTGAATCTAGGCAAGCCTGAGTTTTTGTTTCCTGTTTTAGCTCGCGGCCATTAACCAGCAACAGAGTCAAACAACAAATGACTGGGGAGAGTCTGGACCCCGACCCCCCTTTGCAGATCGGTTGGCTTAGCTCAGGGGTCGGCAACCTTTCAGAAGTGGTGTGCCGAGTCTTCATTTATTCACTCTAATTTAAGGTTTCGCGTGCCGGTAATACAATTTAACGTTTTTAGAAGGTCTCTTTCTATAAGTCTATAATACATAACTAAACTATTGTTGTATGTAAAGTAAATAAGGTTTTTAAAATGTTTAAGAAGATTCATTTAAAATTCAATTAAAATGCAGAGCCCCCTGGACGGGTGGCCAGGACCCGGGCAGTGTGAGTGCCACTGAAAATCAGCTCGCGTGCCGCCTTTGGCACGCGTGCCATAGGTTGCCTACCCCTGGCTTAGCTAATCTGAGTTGACTGGCAGTCAGCTAACAAGTTAAAAAGCCTATAAAGAAAACAAGGCCCATGGGTGCTCAGAGCCACTCTGGTACCAGCCCCACACGCTGCCTCTCTCCGTGCCCTAACAGCCCCACACCCCCCAGCCACCCTGGCTGTCTACGGAGCTCGTTCTCCCCTCTGGTCCCTCCCTAGGCTGACTGCCCCTTTCGCCCAAGCCCCTGTAACAGCAGAGCCGCCACTTACCCCAATCCCTGCAGCCGCTCTGCAGAAGAGAAACAAACACACAGGATGACCTACTTATGTCATCAGTGACTGCATGGGAAAAAACAACTGATCTGCATAGCCCC